GTGCTCCTAAGTTTGTCGACATTTTGAAAAAATAAACCTAATTTAAATGCCTTTTATGATAATATTCTAGAGAACCTATTCAAGAAAAACCTGATCATCATACCCATTATCCACAGACGACATCTATTCAACTGTCACTGGAGAGTAAGGGACGACCCTCCTTAATTCCTTGATCAGCATATTTTTTAAGTGGTTTTGCATTTGCTTGCCAAGCAAGTTTAAGTGGTTCTCGACCTTGGGCGCTAAAAGGTATCACTTTGATTAACGCTTTGCTATGGTTACGATTCTTACCTTTGCATATCTGACGGGTTAGTTAGTCTAGTAGCTAGCATTAAGTATAAATAATTTGATACATCTCAAACATATCGTATCTTAAAATGTATGCCTGTACTCTAGTAACTAGATTGTTCATAAACATCCAAAGTTATGGTTTAAATGTGAAAGTGAGCGTGTTTGTTTATTTTTTGTGTGTTTTGTTACACTTTTACGGTTAAACTACTAAACTAAATTTAAAAATTCTTTCACCAATAGAAAGCTACATTATCAGCGAGTAATATAGACTACTTTTTACCACGATAACTGACATACAAGCAGGCGGAACCGCAGGCAAAACCTTGTACTTATATATTTCTAAAAACATGCATAAAATTACATCCCGACACGGAATAATAAATTTTCCTCATTACACAATTATTTGCCATGCATCGAACTCACAGTTTCTTTGCTCAGTTATCAGGATCACTAACCGCCACAACAGGCCCCAACTTATTCCAAGAATTTAATAATTGTAGCTCGTCTCGTAACAATGTTAAGGTTTCTCTAAAAAAAGAGATATACATCACCCAATTGTACTCAGTTTTTAGCATAGTCTTTCAAACTGTTTAACATATTAATACCAGTCTAGGGTGTTGTAGCCTTTTTGAAATCCCGACTTGTTCAGGTAACTGGAATTTGTTGAGCTTGCTCACGAGGCGATTTGTGAAGATGACGATAGCTCAATTGCTGAGTTTTTTTTTATATTGTGAACTCTATATTATCTACAAAATATTTCTAAATAAACACCTCGTGAATATGATCATAATATAAAACAGCTTATTACGCTAAGTCAAAATTCATTATGTTCAAAATATATTCTCAAATACAAAGGTTTGGGATTCAATTATTGGGAAATTCAGTTGAAATTGGATGTTCCTTTGAATCACGAATACATCATTAGCCAACTTTTATTAATGTGTCAAGAAAATTGTAAATAACTTTACAATTTGTTTACTTAAATAGCTCATATTTTGGTACCATATCATAATTTAGTACCCGATGGTTATATTGTGTCTTCCATCCTAGTTGTGTAATTGAAATTGGACATATTATTATGTAGATATAAATTTGTGATCGGATTTCAATACTCGAGAGAATATCTTAAACACTAAGAATGCTTACTGTGTTAAACAAATTGTATTAATAAACATATTTTTTTTAAAGACAACTCCCGCGCTGGGAATATATCTTGTGTCGCGGGGGGCTTTACTAATGCACATGAAACGGATACAAAGAACACCCAGACTTTGAAGAACATTTTGTAGACTCTGTGCAGTAGGAATCAGCGAGGTGACCGCTTTAACCACTACGGCAACCGTGCAGTTAGTTTAAATACATGTTGATATAAATAAGAAATTTATTTATCCTTTTATATTATAATCAAAAGAATAAAATTATTGTTTCATCTTATAATAAAAAAAAACTGTATATTTTTTACAATTTTAGATTTTTGTCAAGTTTTAGTGCTTTTTTTACTTACACAAGCTACCGTTTATGTAGTTCAGTATGCGGTACACCAACTTTTTCATACAATAATAAGAAAAATTCCACCATTTCTCTATGAGAATATTTGAGCTCTCAAAAATTATTGGGAGAGAGTTTTGATGTATCACGTATCGTGTGAACTCCTCCACAGCATCGGATTGAGATGCGAGCTACGTGCTGACAACTCCATACAGTTAACTAACATTAACTCTTGAAAGTTCTCTACTAAACTTACAATTTGACCCGGTTTTGGACTGTGGGTTACTTACCACACACTATATTAAACAGAATTACCTATTTGATCTAGAAGCTGAACGCTCGTCAATCAATTTAAGTTTTTGAAAAATCCTTAAAATGGTACTTTAACATGAAAAAGTAAAACCTCTAAAGTTTTACAAACTCTGTGGAAGTTACACATGTTACGTTGAATGAATTTACTCGGGATAAGTGTCAGGAAATCAGTTGAAAAGTTCTCAAAACGGCCTTCAAGTATATCTGTTTGTTGTTGTTCGATTTTTGTAGGGTGTGTTGGGGAAGTGAACAATCTGTTACCTTGCAATTTGAGTTCTCAGCTAATTTGTAAGAACCTTCGTTGAATTTTAGTTAGATTACTTTTACTATTAGTTAATATTATATCACCTCACATTTTGTGCTTAAACGTGCTTCACATACAACTTAAAAGTTAGAAAAAGGAAATTAGCATAAAACTGCACTCAATGCAAAAAGAGCAATTGTGGAAATGATTTTACTTCGTAAGCCAAGCCACAAGCAAATATCCAATTTAATTTTTCACTTAAAGAAAACATGTTACACTAAAATAAACAAAGTATGTTTCATGCTGACGAAGTGGATTAAAGAACTTACATGAATTTCAGAAATTGAAATGTAAATTAAGTTAAAAGAGAAGAAAGAAACAAATTAAATCATCTGACGAAAGGTTTAATTTTACATACATTTGTATTTAAGCTGGCTTTTGCATAAGTCAGTAGTAATTTCTTTCTGGATATTTATCGCAATAATAGAAAAAAAAAACAATTATTAAAATAAATAAACTCATGATCCACAACTTCAGTAAATGAAATTTATACTTCTTAAAAATGCATAAATTTCGAAGAATTTCGTTTGTTTTAAAGACCTTTATCAAGAATACTTTTTAATCAATCATATTTAGAGCATAAATGGAGCCTGGTGGCTCTGCTTAATTTAAGATCAGATCAAGTTATTATTACTGTGGAAATACTGGCAATATGGTTGGAAAATTCAAGTAAATGATACAAATTTTCAACAAACAATTTATTGGTACATAAAATTACATTAGTAACAAGTGATCGTTCTTATATAGTATCGTTTTCTTACCCACGGGATAAATTGGGGTAGTGACATTCCGTATTCTTAATCCATCACTACACAGACAGCCGACGTAAGGGCCGACTAAGGGCGCAAAACAACGCAGGATACCAGCACTGCAAAAAGAAGGAAAACTTGACACAAACCCTATACCAACTCGTTTGGCCAGCGTGGTATAGTAGGCCAAAACCTCCTTTCTAAGGAGAGGCCTATGTCCAGCAGTGGACTATTAAAGGCTGTTGATGTGATATATTATGGTATAAGGAAGCAAACGAGCAGGCGGGTCACCTGATGGTAAACAACTACCGCCGCCCATGGACTCCTGCAACTCAAAAGTGACAAGTGCGTTGCTGCCCTTGGAGTTTCTCCCGCTCGAGTCAGCGGGGAGGGATTTGGGCGCTCAACCTCACTCACTCAGTGAAAGGCAACGAAAAAAATGCTTAATACCGGTTCTCTGAGGCCGTGGTATCAGTCCGGTCAAGCCTTCCTATTCGTGTCGAAGTATGGCTCTCCTACGTTATTACACAAAGATATTTTTCGAATAAATATTTCTTTAAGATTAGGTCAAAACTTTAACTCAACACAATACAAAACTTTTTAACATTTTCCTGAACTGTCCGACGCCCACTCTACCAACCAGTTTCAATCGAGAGAGGAAACAACTTGAAACTTTGTCCATCTTCAACACCTTTGTAAATCTTAACTATAAAAAGAGTAAGAGACGTAATTCATATGAGTATTATTAACTCAACGACTTAACTTCAATTGATACTAATTGAAGTTAAGTCGTTGAGTTAAAATTTTAAATAGACATTTGTTCTGATATACAGCTAGGTATTTTATAAATAGACAATTGGAATACCAGAAATTGATTTAAGAATTCATAATGGTAAATCATCTGGCTTCTATTAAAATCATTTTAGTAAATTAGGTTTTATTATAAGTTTAAAAAAATAAATAAACACGCTACAAGTTAAAAGGCTCCACATTTTTAGGTCGTCGGGCGTCTATGACGTCTCTGTTTAACCAATCGGGGGATATCGGCGTGAGTGTGTATGCATATATACACACGCTTAAAACTTAACTTAAACGTTTTTAAAAAGTTCGCTGGTAACTTGATAACTAACTACACGGTGCTTCCCTGTTTAAAAAGGGTGTATGCCTATTTTACTTCATTTTGTCTCCCGCTTTGCTAAGGAGGGAAGTAGATTTACTGTATTTCCAACTCCTCCAATTTTCTTCTGATTAATTTCGTTGCGGGTTCCAAGACAGTTTAATTTCTTCCTGGGACTTCCCGAGTGTCATAACTCGGTGTGTTCGTGGTTCACTGCTGTGGATCCTGGTGTACAGGAGTTACAGCGGTGGGCGTGTGGGTGGGATTAGTCCCTATAAAAAAAACTAACTACACAAAAATGAACTTGAAAGTCAATTTAAGCCCACTTCTAATGGTTGTTTGCAAGGAAACATCCTTTAAAGATTCCTTCTTTAATATGTAAATGTACTTTGGATAGAAATACTATGATTTGACTTAGAGTATATCTGATGATATAGTCAGGATGTAGGTATTAAAACTCTTTTTTACTTTTTAATTTAATTTTAATCTACTATTTTAGTTTTCGTCTAGACAGTTTACTTCTGCCTTTGTGTTTACTGTGTGTACATATATGAGGGCGTATGAGAGTTCGGAAATATCGTATATGTGTACTCGTGTATCTATTTTTAAGAGCTAGTGTATGTTTCATATTTTTTTTTATTTTGTGTGACACAATTCACGCAATTTATACACAAGTGACAGAATAACGCCTAGAGAGTGTCAGGTGTAACAGTGTGACGTCTGACACGTATGTGGCAGGATGCTTTATTCTTTAAAACAGAGCCGCTGTCAGCTTCGTAAGTAGTCCGGCAACCCAAAACACATAGTAAAACCGTAACTTTAATAAATATATTGTATGAAATTCACGAAATTCAGGCAATGATTTTACATGATTTATAAATTATCATCATCATCATTATCATTAACAGCCTTTACTAGTCCACTGCTGGACATAGGCCTCTCCTTAGAAAGGAGGTTTTGGCCTATTATACCACGCTGGCCAAACGGGTTGGTATAGGGTTTGTGTCAAGTTTTCCTTCTCTCTGCAGTGCTCTTGTTCTGCGTAGTATTCTCCCTTAGTTGGCTCTTACGACACCCACGGGATGAATAGGGGTGGTGACACTCTGTATTCTTAATCACACACAACCATTTTATATATAATTATTTCTTCTTTCTATCTTTCTTTCTTCTTCTTTCTTTCATTATATGTATTTCTTAATTCACACGGACTATTTTATATATATATATTTTTCTAATTTGCAGGATATAACACCTACGCCTACAATGACACGGCGCACACGGATAGAGAGCCTGATGAAATTCTTTCCGTAACATACGAAGACGGCAAGTGGTCTAAGCCGTATTACGATTGTGGAGGTGGCAATATTTGGATGCTCACCTATACCGTCCCCTTCTTTGGATACAACAACGGATCTTACTTCTTTAAGTAAGTATACTTCTTATAAAGCCTACTTCATTCGAATGTGGAAGACAACTTAACCAAAATGACTTGACTTTCACATTAACTAATCCACTGCTCTACATTGGCCATTAGGCGGTATATTAGGTGGTATATTAATACCACGTTGGCCAGACGCGTTATTAAAGGGTTTGTTTCAAGTTTTCCTTCTCTCTGCAGTGCTGTCTGCACTTGACCTTGGTTCTTTTTAATTCGATCTTCAGATCATTTCTTTTAGTTCCATCAAATGTCTAAGTCGGTTAATAATACAGTGATATTGTATGTACATACATATTATTATTACATATGACACCCGTCCAGGGTATTTAGAGATGGTAGAATGCCATTTGCCAGGATCCTGACTTACAGCTTGCAGCGCTTCTACATTCTTCCTGCACTTGCCCCAATTTTATTTTAATCGACTGCCTTTAACAGTCCACTACTGGACATTGGACATAGGTCTCTGTTTAGATATAAATTTTTAGTATTTTTGGTACCTACTATACTACGTTAGCCAGATGGATTAGTATAAAGTTTGTGTCAAGTTTTCTTTCTCTTTACAATGCTGTTGTCCTGCGTAGTTTGCTCCCTTAATCGGCTCTTACGACACCCACGGGATCAATAGCGGCATTCTTAATCCGTCACCACACGGACGCGAATTTTATTAGGAGTTAGCTTAACATATAACTGAGTGCCGCCGCTCACTACTACTACGAAACTGTGACGAAACAATACCCCTCTTTAATAGTCCCCAATCGGTTCAGATTTGAAAGAATATCTCCTCGTGTTCTTTATTATTATTAAGTCCAATGTCCAGTAGTTTTATATCAACAAGTAATTTTCTGTTGCAAATACACAGAACGTGACCACAATTTCAATCGAATAACAATGTCATAACGCAACATTTTTTATTTTTCAAGTCTGACCAGCGATAAAAACATAGTGACCGAGAATTGCTGTAATAACAAATAAGACAGGAAAAAATCGCCTCAAAAAAGATTGCACATGAAAGTCGTAGTTATCAGGCCCATTTGAAGTCGTTTGAGCAATAACACAGATGGGGTCAGAGATACCGGCGCCCGCCCGTTTGTACCGGAAAATGGATTATGCATGGATACCACAGTATCTATACGAGATCTTTAGTTAAACCATATATGTTTCTTTTAAAAATTTCGACTTAGAAATATTTAAGGAGGGGCTTTTCAAGATTGTAGAGCCACGTCTATTTTCTGTGAATTAGGTGGTTTGCCTTAATGCGGTTCTGACAATGAATTCTACATAGAGCTTTAAGCAATCTTCTTGTTTGAATTTATATGACTCGATGCCCGTCCGGTGCCATTTCTTGGTATTCAATACCGGTCTAAGTCTAATCTACGTGTTTTGGAACACGTAGTTTTTCTTTTTTATGGTAAAGGGGCAAACGGGCAGTTGGGTCACCTGATGGTAAGTGACTACCGCCGTCCATATAGACACCTGCAGTTTAAAAGTCACAACAGCCTTATCAGGGGGGGAGGTAGTTGAGCTAAACGTAACAAACTATATTTACTTACTTATATCCATTGGTATTATTAGTAAATCTGTTATCGTCTTGTGTGTTCTTCAAAGTCACTAGAATATTATCGGTAAAAATATTACAACGAACCATATACCCTTTGAAAACCCTAACCCTTTGGCATTAAATCTCGTACAAAAAACTTTTGGGATATTAGAAGATTAATAACCGACCCGTGTTTACATGTTCATGCAGATTTGAACATGTTACTAATATTTTTGGAACATCAAAGTGTAAGGAAAAATATTATCTTTTACATGAATTTTGTACAAAATACAACCTAGGGAAGATATTTCTTTGACTCAGAAGTCTCATAATCGACAATACTTAATATCTTCCATATCCAAAGTAATGACGTCACAGATCAGTATTGACTTAGCCATTGGTCCAATTTTTTTGGATCCTGACTGACAAGTATTTGGTTGTTCGGTTTGTGGTTCTTTTTTTGTTTTGTTTTTCACACATCTCACACACGGCCGTCTGATCCAAACTAGGCAGAGCCTGAGAGATACCGTGCTTATCACTTAATATTTGTCCTGAGTGGGAATCGAACCCACGACCTCCGGTTTAGCAGTCAGGGTCACTAACCACCAGACCAACAGACCAACCATTGTAAGGTTTATAATTATGTACATGTATGGGAATAAACGTGATTACGACGTCTTTTATTCTTGAATAGTTCTTATATTCTAGACGATCTGTCTACCTAGATAACTAACTAACTAAAAAAACTGAGTTCAAATGTAAGACAACATAAATATGATTAAGTATTTAAAATATTTAAGAGTACAAAAGAAAGGTTCTGTAACCAAATCACCACCTTTAAAATTAACGGCTTAGTCGCAACTGCGGTGAGTGGTCACAGAGAGTATAAATCTCTACAAAAATTATGTTTCGTCCAAATTAAATTCGTTGGAAAATTTGTTAACTCGATGGTAAAAGTTTTACTGTTTACTTTTGTGAATGATTGAATTCTAAAAATCGAATGTGGTTGATTTTTAATGTTTTAGTAAAGTATAAAAGCAATACATAAGTATAAAAGCAAAGCAGTATAAAAGACATGTGACCTCTTTGAGCTGCAGTGTGAGACCGATTTTCTATCCAAAGCTTGCGGAATTTCTCAGCCTAGCTTCCCCGTCTAATCTGTTTTTTATTTAACTTTATTTGCTTGTCTTTTTCGTTTGAGCCTTTTTCGCAAACTAGGCTAGGGTCGACTTTAGGTCTCGACCTAAAGTCGACCCGCTAGGGTTAGGGTCAGCTTTAGATTTCTACACCACCTAAAGGTTGGCTGGTAGAGAATGCCCAGGGCATTAAGTCCGCCGATGTACATAAGTGCATGAAGATGTAAAATAAAAAAATAAAATAAATAAAGCTGACCCTAACCCTAGCGTAAAAATTCAAAGTTCAGTCGTATCTTAGTCTACTAACTAAACTTAGATTTTGGAAAGACTCACTGTTGTCGGACTTTTTTGGGCTCCAACTTTCCCTAACATTTTCCACAGATGTTCGTGGCAACTGGAACTAATGGCTTAAAGTGCTCTCAGAGGCAAGGAAGGGTTTCAATGTGATAAAAATGGTCGCGTTTCCTGGCTACGATTGCTTAACTTTACAATGTGTTACCACTTAGCCACGATCCCGTCCTCTATTGTACCCTCTGAAAACATTACATTTCCCATTAGAGATATGTTATATTTCAGGCAGACCGACAACTTTAAAAAAAACAACCAACATTTTCGCTCACCTACACATTGCGCTCATCCAAACTACAATTTTCTTCTTTGGATTTCTTCAGTTCAAATAGCTTTTCAGTAAATCTACAACGATTATACAAAAGCATTAACTCTTACTTAAAAGTTTCTAACACTCGATTTGTTTTCGAACGTAACGTGAAGTTGTTACACATTTTTGCTTTTTTATTTCTTGCCAACTTTGGCAACAGCGATCTCATTTGTTTTGGGGATTAAGAGATTTAAGACGATTAAAATTGCCAATAGAGGTTTTACAAGGAGTGTTTGTTTTATATAGAGGTAACATTGGTCTTGAGTTTGACTCCACCCAGGAAAACTGCGTGATAAGTATGACCTCTCAGTAGTCAGGATCATGAACCACTTACAAATCAATAGTAATAACTTCACACATTTCACACACGGCAGTCTGATCACAAACTGGGCAGAGCTATGGTAACCAGACAACTGATAAACATACGTTTATATTTCTAAATACATGATTATTATAGATAATTACACCCAGACACAGAACAAATAATCGTGATCATCTTCATCATCAACAGCCTTTAGAAGTCCACTTCTGGACATAGGCCTCTCCTTAGAAAGTAGGTTTTGGCTGGCTAGACGGGTTAGTATAGGGTTTGCTTCAGGTTAGGTTTGATTTATTTCATGGGCCCCGTCGTGGTCCACCTCCTGGCGCCTCAATCGTGGTCAACTCGGTCCTCGTACCGGTTCGGGCCCAGATGAAATATCTGGGCCTGATCCTCGACGGGAGGTGGCTCTTCGACGAGCACTTCCGACAGCTTGCTCCAAAGCTGGTCGGCGCTGCGTCTGCCCTAGGGCGACTTTTGCCCAATTTGGGTGGACCCAGCGTCGCGACAAGACGGCTGTACACGGGGGTTGTCCGGTCAATAGCACTGTACGGTGCACCGGTGTGGGCGGCGGCTCTGACCACCCAGAATAGGGCACGCCTCTGGCGCCCTCAGAGGGTAATGGCGGTCAGAGCCATACGCGGTTACCGCACGGTTTCGACGGAGGTGGCATGCGCGTTAGCTCGTTGGTCGTTCCGGCTGGAGACTACACGCGGCTCTCCAGCCGGTCATCGCCGAGTGGGCAGGGCGGCAGCACGGGACCCTTTCCTTCCGGCTGACGCAGGTGCTTTCCGGGCACGGTTGCTTCGGAAAGTACCTGCACTCGGTCGCTAGGAGTTAACTGAGTCCCGCCTGCCACGACTGCGACTGCAGTGAGGACTCGGCCCAGCACACGCTAGCGGTCTGCCCCGCATGGGCGACGCAGCGCCGGGCCCTCACTGCAGTCATCGGAGTGGATCTCTCGCTACCGGCCGTAGTACGCTCCATGGCCGGTAGCGACAGTTGTTTTACCGCGGTCGCAACCTTCTGCGAGGAAGTAATCTCGCAGAAGGAGGCGGCGGAGAAGGCCCGGGAGGACGACCTCCACTCGGACCCGATCCGCCGCCGGCGAACCGGGCGGCGGAGGCGCGCCTATCACCGCCTCATGCCGCCCTGAGTGTGGCCGCGGGTGGACGGGGTGGGTTTCCCCTCCACCCGCATCAGTTTGGCCAGCCGCGAGGGGGCGGCGTCCGCGTGTGCCGGACGTCGCCTAAAGAGAGGATAATTTTGAGACGGGGCCCGCAACATGAGCGGGCCGGCTCTAGGAGGGGTCCAGATGTCTTAATAACAGCTGTTCCCGGATCCCTCCTGTTACAGGCGCAGAGTGGCACACCGTGTGGTTTTAGTCGGTCCGAGTCCGACACACCACCCCGCCGCAAACCCCGGAGGGGTGACGGTCCGAGGGGATTTCCACACTTTAAAAATATAAAATAAAAAGGGTTTTGCTTCAAGTTTTCCTTCTCTTTGCAGTGCTGTTGTTCTGCGTATTTTGCTCCCTTAGTCGGCTCTTACGACACCTATGGGATGAATAGGGATGATGACACTCTGTATTCTTAATCCGTCACCACACAGATAACATTATTAGATCGTGATCATCACACAATATCTCGTCATCTTTGTATCAATCTATCAGTATATTATATTCAATCACGTCGAAATCTAACGTTTATAACAGGATAGCTTATTACCAGCTGAATTAACTAAGATGGAGGTTGACAACTCCAAATGCGTACACAATCCTTGAAAACAATTTTTTTTTATGTTAGAGTGGACAGACGAGCAGAAAGGTCAACTGATGGAAAGTGACCATCGCCGCCCATGAACGTCTGCAACTCAGGAGTCACAAACGCGTTGCCGGCCTTTTAGGAAGGAGTAAGCTTTTTCTTGAAGCTTTGAAGGTCGTATCGGTCCGGAAATACCGCAAACAATTTATCATTATTTATCAGTAATATATGTATGTATTTGGAAGTATATAAGTATGTTTATAAGGAGTCTGGTAACCATAGCACCGGCTCTGCCTAGTTTAGAATCAGCCGTGTTAAAGAAATGTCTGGTTTATTTTTATTATTATTTATTAATTTTAAAATAAAAACTCGAGCACGTCAGGAACGCATACGTGTTAATGGAGCTTGCGGGTTCTTTGCGGGAAATTCGATACCCCTTACACCATAATCACGAATAGGTTAAATACGATAATGCCAATACTATCAATAATGTCGAAGGTAGTTAACACAGTGGAAGAAGGTAAAAAAAAAAATAGTTTAATAAACCAATAATATGGATCATAACATGAGGTCGTATTCTTACAATCGATAATATCGACACAATTGAATATATCGAAATATTTGATAGCACTGTAAAAAACATTTTACAAAGTTAGCTATCGATATCGAAACTATCGATCATCATCATCATCATCATCAACAGGCTTTACTAGTCCACTGCTGGACATAGGCCTCTCCTTAGGAAGGAGGTTTTGGCCTACTATACCACGCTGGCCAGACGGGTTGGTATAGGGTTTGTTTCAAGTTTTCCTTCTCTCTGCAGTGCTGATGTCCTGCGTAGTTTACTTCCTTAGTCGTCTCTTACGACACCCACGGGATGAATAGGGGTGGTGACACTCTGTATTCTTAATCCGTCACCACACGGATAACTAAACTATCGATGCCTCATCAATACTACTCGATAACATACTACACATCAGTTATTTGAAACGAAAACTTTGTACGCATAAGTAATTAGCTGAAATGTTTGATTGGGCTGATTGAAGGTTTCCATTTATCAAGCTTCCATTCCACTCGAGACAGCTTGTCATTTATATTAATATTTCTTGTCGGTTTGGAATGGAAGAAAAACATAAAGTTGGCTGTTTACTTTGCTAGTTGCAAAGTTAATTAAATCGTACGGGTATATAGCTCACATAGACTTTCTGTAGTCATGTGTAAAGTAAACATGATTTGGAAATACAGTTGTTGATATTATTTACAAATTTATGTTACGTTTTATCTACATGATAAATTGTGAAATTTTTGTGGGTGTTATGTCTTTTTAGCACAAAGGAGAAATTATTTTGACCGTAAGGCCAATTTTCGTAATAAAAGTTCGGTCTCAATTCAGTTTTTCTATAAAAACGTACGGTTACTTTAGTCACTTAGTGAAAAGCAACGATTAAATTGCTAAAAATCGTTTCTGTGTAAGGCTGTAGTATCACTCCGATCGAACCAGCCCACATATGACGAAGTATGACTCTCCCAAGGTTTCTTTTTCTAATTTACGTAATGGAGTTCTATTGTATGATCTTATTAAATAAAGTTCATTTTCTACTTCAAAATAAAATAACTATAAAAGTCCATACCATAATAGTCTCTATATTCAAGCCATGAACATCTAAAATTTAACATTAAAGTCACATCTATTGTGGAAAGTGGTAGATGAATTATAGCGCCGACCTTTACTGGGGTATTACGGTAATCTGTCACCGAGTTCGTCTTGATAATATATTCTTTAGAATTTATTACATAATGTAATTGAAGGACTGCCTTTTGGTACTAGTATTATTGCCATTAGGATATAATACAAGAGTGGATACATAACTTTTGGAAGTAAAATGTGTCTTCAAGACAGTTTGCTAACAAATCTAATAAGTTTACAAGAAAAGAAAACGTGTTTTTACAAACCGCAGACAATCTGGGCGTAATATCAAATACAAGTGACAAGGTACGAGTATAATAATATTTACATATTTTTTATTGTTTCCGTAAAAAGGTGGTGTGATATAATTGTGTCCTTATTCTTTTGTGCTTTGAAAGTCCTGTTTTAAATATTGATTCATCAGCTTGATTGCATTAAGATGCAATCGGGCCGAGATGCCGCGATTGAGGGCGGAAGTGTTCTCCCTTGGCATAGAGCTCGATTAGGCATGGTGTCAATTCCTAGAATAACATAGTCCGGGTCCTTCCACAGTAGGACACCTGAGGCTGGTCGTCGGGGTGGTTATTAGTGGAATCATCAATCCTGAGTCCCGAGGAGCAGGAGATCCGAAGGGATTCCACCCCGTTAACAAAAAAAAAGAAAGGACTAAGTGGCCCTTGCAGCTCGATTATCTACCCCGCGAGGGGTAGATAATCGAGCTGCAAGGGCCACTTAGTGGTATAGGCGTGAAAGCTTAACAACACACAAACCAACTCACTTTTACATATAAAATATAAGGATGGAAGTATAGATTATTTAAAAACAATAGATGATTTCATATACATTGCATATGATTTCATATACATCATATGATTTCATATATATATAAAATATTGCCTAAAATCTGAATTTAAGAGGTGTTTCGAAATCCGGAACGACATATAATTTAAAACATACGTATTCTTTATTGTTCTAGGGGAACCAGTGGCATTGATATTGATCTCCGGAGAGTGGATATTGATCAGTGCCCCATGAAGCCTGACTCCACACAGTTGAACATCTTCGCCGGTACTGATAAATGCAAGAAGAAAACCACGGAGGTGAGTAAATCAACGTATGTGGTATTTATGCTATTGAACTATAGAAATTGATCTAATAGAACAGGTTTGCTTTAATAATAATAATATAAAATGTAATACAAGAGGGTGTGGTATAAAAAATTTAGGCACGATACACATTTTATCCATGTTATACATAATGTGTGTCTACAGATATCAGAGAGAGGGGGAGAGGGGCTCTTAAATAAGTGGTAACCGAGTGGGTTACCCATTGCAAAGTTAAGCAGTTCTCAGGCCCCTCTATCCCACTGGGCACTCTGGGCACGTGCCCAGTGCCCCTCAACAGATAGAGGCCCCCTAATTCCTACCTACCTACCTAAAATTCGAAAATCGACATTTATTGCCGAAAACCTTATTTATTTAGAAAAAGCCAGCGAAAATGGCTGACTATAATACCTTTTTTGGTTATTCTAACAGAATACTAATCACTCAAGGTTGTAGGGGCCCCCATTATCATAATGTGCCCTCCGATAGGCTAAAGACGGCCCTGGCAGTCCTAGGCCAGTCTATGGATGGGTGACCATTCTTAACACATTGAGATCTTTCCGTGCCTCGGAGAGCACGTTAGCCGTCGATCCCGGTTGCCAGTTGGAGTCCTAAAAAGTCCGCCAACAGTCTTTCTACAGAACTTCGATATTGCCTAGTATTTGTACGTGTGGAGGTCTAATGGCAGTCGCTCCACGTAAAAAATTGAAGTTCAGCCGTATCGTAGTAGACTTAAAGACTAGTTTGGGAAAAAGACTTGAAGAACAAGATATCAGAGAAAGAAAAAAGCCCTTTTTCGTGCCCTTATAGTTTAGTACATTCAATATCTGATTTTACCGTCAGGCTGATTAATGTCGGCCCGCTAATGTGTATAGCAACCTTTAAAGGAAACTTGGTCGGTATGCGGATCTAAGCTCTGATAGTGCATATTCACACCTTTATCTGTAGATGCATTCGTTTGATATTGCGGTACATTGCTAGTGTCAATTTTATATTTCTTGCACGTGTTAGAAACACCTACATTAACTTTTAATTGCACCAGACCTTGCACCTACCGACTATTACTTTTTCCAAAATTTAGACAACTTTTTAGTGGGTAAAAAATTCAATTCCCGAGAGGCAGTAAAAAATGCCTTTAAAGAGTTTGTTGCCTCCCGTCCAGCTGATTTTTATAAGAAGGGCATCAATAAACTGCCAATGCGTTGGCAAAGATGCGTCGATTGCATGGGTGATTACTTCGAATAACAGAAATCAAAAAGTTTGAAAAAATAAGTACTTTCACTTATTGCATACAAAACGGCAATTTCATAGGTAAAGACCTATTAAATCTGTACTAAATAAGAGTAAGGACGATCGTTATAAATGTTTTCTTTTATTTTATTGACATATATGGTTTTGACTGCACGGATGGCGTAGTGGTTTAAGCGGTCTCTTCGCCGCTTCTTACTGCGCTGTGTTATTGGTCCGATCCCCACATGGGAAAATAATTTGTGTGGTTCATAAATTGTTCTTTGTGTTAGGTTTAATGTATGTTTGTAAAGTCCCTGCGATACAGGATATATTCCTAGTGCGGGAGTTGTCTTAAAAAAAAACATTGAATTGACTTTTTTTATCATTATATAGAAGGTTTTACACAATTTTTAATGTTATAAACCATATATCATAACAATCCTCTTCTGCTCTGCCCCACTCATACTTCCGCCTGTGTCCACTCCTCGTTCCTAATTCAATCCGTACTCCTCTGGAATGCTCTCCCTCTCGAAGTCAGGATAGCACCCAGCCGCCTCTCATTCAAGATGAAAGCTAGAGCTCGCATCCTGGACACGCTAGCAGATTCATCACAACTTTGAAATTTTATACATTATTGATTTTTAGGCTTATGTATGTTTGTTGCTATATAAGTATTTATGTATGTGTATGTATTTGGTACGTATGAATGTATGTATATTTATCGCATTACTTCTACCTAACTTATCAATCATTTTCTTTTACTTCTCCTATTAATGTCTAGTGCACCTAGCCACACATTTCAGCACCACCCTAAGGTAGACTGGGAGAAAATGCCTATGGCATTAAGTCCGCCAATGTACAACTTGTGCATAAAGAATAAAAATAAATAAATATTATCATTCCAAAAGTCCAGTGTTCTGGATTTCTTGTACATCATCAACAGCCTTTAATAGTCCACTGCTGAATATAGGCCTGTCTTAAGAAAGTAGGTCAAAGCCACGCTGGCCAGACGGGTTGTTAAGCTTAGTTTGCTCTCTTAGTAGACTCTTACGACACCTACGCCATGAACAGTGGTGAGGACAATCCGTATTCCGTAATCTGTCACTACACCGATTGGATTTAAACATGTAATATTCTAAGTAGAATCTTCTCTTTGTTGTGCCATATTTTTGTGTTAAAACTGCAAAATTTTTGCTTCACACGTGACAGATGTATATTACAGAAAGAAAAGCCCTACTTTTCTAAATATAAACTTCTTCGTTAATACGGCTTTGACAAAAGAATTAAAATGGATGTATAAGGTTATTCATTTCATATTCTTGATTTAATAGCTTTTACATGACTCTCAATACACAGGGGATGCGGTGAGGTAGCTTTAGAGTGCTGGCGGGTCCCCGTAATATGTAGTACAAAGTACTTTGCGCCAAGAAATATTATGTGGAGTGAAATTTTCCAGTACAGGTTTCAGGAGCAAAAGCTTTCACATATCACACTTATGTGCTAGATATGGGAGGTTTAAGGATTTTCAATCTAAAAGAGACTGAAATAAATCTTAATGTTACAGTTGTGTATTGATATAAGACCAAATCTCATGACTGCACGGATGGCGTACTGGTTTAAGCGGTCGCCACGCCGCTTACTACTACGCTGAGTGTTGATGGTCCTATCCTCACATGGAAAGACACTTTGTGTGAACTAAAAATTGTTGTTCTGAGTCTTGGTGTTCTTTGCGTCGTTTCACATATGTTTTTCAAGTCCCCCTCGACACAGGATATATTCCTAGGAGATGTCTTTAAAAAAATAATCTTTGTATAGTTTGCAAATATTTGTTTCTGGGTTTTCTATGTATAATATTAATGTATTCACAAAAAAGTATATAATTATCCTATCAGTCAATCTAGCTTTCATAGTACAAGCTCTTGCTTAGTTTGAAACTAGATGGCGTTGTGTGTTGAATGTCTGAAATATTATTATTATTATTAAAGATATATGTGTAGGAAGAACATTAATAATAATAACCCCACACATAGCACACGGCCGTCTGATCCCAAACTAGACAGAGCCTGTACTATAAAAGTACTACTGCTGATAAACAAAGTTATGTATGAAAATGATCGTGCCCATCACACAATTATCTATCCTGGGTGGGAATCGAAGTCATAGGGAGAGGACTACAGTTTTTTTTTTGGTTTGTAATGAACAACCAGTCGTCACCAAACGGTTAGTAGTATAACGGAGTCGAGCAAGTTAAAACCACACAGATGCATTTCCTTATCAGGTTTTTGCTGGAGTCCGACCTGTCGCCAGAAAGAAATTCCTTGTAAAACCCGACAGACTTTGCCACCTGTTAGGTTAGGGGAACAACAGGTAGGTGTCTTTACGGGTTCAACTGTTTAGGAAAGCACATTTATTAAATTTGACGGGCCTGTTGGTCTAGTGGTTAGTGACCCTGACTGCTAAGCCGGAGGTCGTGGGTTCGATTCCCACCCAGGACAAATATTGTGTGATGAGCACGGTCATTTGTTCTGTGTCTGGGTGTAATTTATCTATAATATGTATGTATTTAAAAATATATAAGTATGTTTATCAGCGGTCTGGTTACCATAGTACAGGCTCTGCCTAGTTTGGGATCAGACGGCCGTGTGTGAGATGTGTGAGATATATTATAAAATATTATAAAAATTCAATGCTGGAAAAAAGTGCTTCTGTACAAATTTATTAAATACAAACAAAAAATTGAGTTACTTCATTTTCAACTAAAGCAAAGATAATGTTGACACCAATTACGAGTGTCGGATCAGTTAAATTTGAATGAAGACCCTTTCTTTGTGATCTATTGAAATTTAAAGAAAAAGGGGGCGAAGGGGGGGGGGGGCGAACTTTTTTTTTTGATAACCGACCCATAAATACGTTCAATGAAAGATCTACGAGACCCCGTATGTGATTATTTAACAGTTTAATTAAACCTACACAATATTATATTGAAAGGAATACTGAATTTACTTGATCCAGCCATTGATATTAAGTTAGACAGAGCCTGCACTATGACGAACATACTTAACGAATGAAATACATACTGTACTGTACATGTACTTAAAAAAAATACTATAGATAACTTACATACCTACACATAGTCGCACAATTATTTATCCTTGATAAGAATCAAACCTGCTTTGGCGTAGCAGTTAAGATCACTACCCTTAACCAACAGACCGGTCAAAGTGATCCCACGTTATTATTAATAAAAGAAGAACGTAATAAAAACGAAACAAAGAGTTTAATCTGTTCATATCTTATATTAGTTCCTTTTTAATCTTTTCATCACATTGTCTTTACCTTAGCAAGGAATTCATAGGGTCCAAGAATCCTTTATGAAATTTTTGATCACAAATCTTTAAGGGCACAACAATAAAGGAATTAAGGACGTGACATCTAAGCCGTTTATTAAAGGTCAAAGACCAAGAATTTGATATTACGTTTCTAATTTATAATAACAACATTTTTTATAGGTTATGACAAACAATTCTAAGCAATGAAATTCTTTGCAGTCCCTCCTTTGCAGTTTTTATGCTAAAGTAATAGCTTTGATATACGAATATGCACCTAATACTATATAATTACTTAAAATTTCGCTTATAACTATTGCAAATTAAAAAAAAAAACTGTATTAAACCAAATATGTATTTTTTGCTTTTATATTCATGTTGATGTTTATTAATTCTAACACCGAAAGCAGTGCAGTGTTATTACAATTTGATTTTATTATATTTTATTTTATTCGGGGAGTTCATAGCTTACATGTACATCAGTAATTTTGT